TTATAGTGCCGTATTTAATCCAGAAATGATCAATATATTATTTGATAATGACAAGACAATTCCTCTTCAATTTAATATTAAAACTGTAGGACTACGCGCTGGAAACAAAACAATTGAGAATACTTTGAAATTTTATTTAAATCATCTATCAAATTCTGAATGTATGTACATCAGTTTAAGCGATGTTGACGACATTAAAGATCGCCATATAAATATTTTATTCAATATTATAATAAATAAAGGCAATAAATTACTAGAAATTACTGTTGCAGGCTATGAGATAGCAGCAAAGCTTCATGATCTTATTTTAGAAGTAAATCGTTTACAAATACAAATTAAAAATAAATATAACTTTCAGTATATAATAACATCAAAAAACTGTTTAAATATGCTGCCTAGAATCATTTTTGTGTGTTTAGGTCCTCTTAATTTTAAATTATGTGAAAAAGCAGAAAATGTTAAAATTGATGTCGTTTACGAATCCAAAGTAAATGAAATATCTACAAAATACCAAATTGCCAATATTTACAATCCAAAAGTCAGATTTGAAATTTGCAAGGAAGAAGCTAGTGATGAATCGGGTTTTTGTATTAATACAGTCGAAATAATGAAAAAGAATTGAATCTAAGAAACGAAAGCGGAAATTTTATTTAATTTGTTGGATAACAAAATACTTTTTTAAAATTGATGGTGTTCATTGCCTATTGATAAAATTTTTGTTTTGTAAATTGTTGTATTACTTTTAAATGGTTAAAGCATGTCAATTTATTTTTAAATATTTTTAGATACATTTTATTCAATAAATGGGAGATATTCGAAGCAGGATTCAGTTCAACAGAATCCTACAATTAAGCTTTTATTATCTCTAGACAATTAGGCCTTATTTTGCTAAAACCTCTCGAAACTCTCCACATTCTATTTTTTTCATTTGGCAAATCAAAAGTTAAATTTAATTGAACTCAAATTCAAATTTTATACTCACAAACACATCGATTTCAGACAATAGTAATGTGATTAAATAAATAAAATTAATCAAATAATTGATCAGTGTTTGAACTGTGCTTTTTATATGAACGAGTATGAACGAGTAACCCTCAGTATGAACGAGTAACCCTCATGAAAAATGTAATCTAGCTTTGTTATGGGTATCACACTACAGCCGAAAGAAAAAAGGAAACACAAACCCAACTATTACCGCATAACTTTTCGGCACTACTGAAGAAAAGGGTGCTTTTTCTGCGGACTTTTTTTGCGGACTTTTCCTTTCTTTTAAATGTTTTACTTGTAGCAACTAACTGTCAAAGGTCCTCCCCCCTATTATTTTTCTTACCTAAGATTGTACATAAAGGTCAGATTTTCTTCTTCCTCTCCTTCCTCTATTTGCTCTGTGGCATATTCAAACAAGTGACATTGATAAAGAGAAGATTAATTTTATAGTCATACACTTATTTTTTGCCTTCGAAAACAATTTAAACAAAAAAATAATTAAATAAAATTGATTTAGTGTATAACATTATGAATTTCTATGTAAAAACGTTACATTCTTCTATTTAAAAATATTGAACAACTGAAAAAATAAATTGAACTCAGTATTGAACAACTCAATTAAAAATATTGAACAACTCAATTAATTTTAATCTTCTCTTTATCAACAATATCTCTTATTTGAATATGCCAAGCTCGGCTAAAGTACACTTTACCGGGCGATTTTAGATTTTTATGATTTATATGTCAATCGAAAGAGCTCATCAAGCTGAGTCGAATGACACTAAAATTAGTCCGCGGACTCAACTACGAGCCGAGTTACAGGTCCCTGAAATTCGAAAAACCATAGGGGGGAGTAAGCTGTTTTTTGGGAATGAAAAATTCGAATATGCCAATAATAGCTCATTCGAAAGAGCTCATCGGTCTGAGTCGAATGACACCAAAATCAACAAAATCTGACTTGATTTGACAAAGTTATGACCGTTTGTTTTTATCCCCTACATAGGGGTCTACGCGGAAAAAAGTTTTTGCCGCTGCGGAGGAAGCCGGGCATGTCGAGCGGAACGACGGCCGCCGCTTCGCTACGGTCGCCGCGAGCGTAGCGAGCACGACCGCAGCGAAGCACGGCCATCGTGTAGCGAAGACCATGCCCGGCCTACCCTCCGTAGCAGCACAAAAACAGTTTTTCCAGCGAAGATTCAGTTGGTCATAACTTTGTTCATAATCATCCAATCGAGCTGATTTTGGTGTCATTCAACTCAGCTTGACGAGCCCTTTTGAATGAGCTATCATTTGTAAAATCGAATTTTTCACCCCAAAATTGAGCTTACTCCCCCCTATGGTTTTTGACCATTTCGAGCCCCATATCTCGGCCCAAAGTTGTTTCCGCGGGCTAATTTTGGTGTCATTCGACTCAGCTCGCCGAGCTCTTTCGAATGACATATAATTTGTTCAATTCTAAAATCGCCCGGTAAAGTGTACTTAGGCCCCAAGCTCAAATAGAGGAAAGAAGGAAATCTGACCATTTTGTACAATCTTAGGTAATAAAAATAATGGGGTGGGGGGGGGGGGGGACAAGGTTTGAAATTACCCGCATTTCTGTTCCACAATAACATATTCTTTTTCTATGAAGTATTCCGAGATCAGTGATCCATTGTCGAAATTCATCATCGGGTAATTGAAAATTTAGTTAAAGTAAAATTTTTAATTGATTGTAACATTTTTTACGTTTATATATTCAAATTAATCGTGAACACATATTTTTCAAATTGGCATAAAAAATGATCCTTTGACAGTTAATTGCTACGAGCAAAACTTGCTGAAAGCAAAACAACCAAAACATTTAAAAAGAAAGGAAGAAAAGTCCGCAAAAAAAGTCCGCAGAAAGGGCACCTCCATCTTCATAAGTACCGGCAAGTCTTTATGATCTTATTCTAGAAGTATCTATTTATTTATAAATAAGATAAAAAATAAATTTAAATTTTAGTATATAACAACATCTAGAAATTGCTCAAAAATGGTAAATGATATTATTTTTCATTTTTCTTCTTCTGATTCTTGGCGCTTTAAATTCAGTGAAAGTGCAGAAAAAATTGAAACAAAGCAATTAGATGACAGAAAACATACAAATTACCAAATTTCCAATATTTACAATCCAAAAGTGAAATTTGCAGTCTGTAATGAAGAATGGTATGGTGAAATAAGTTCTATTCATATCAAAAGAATCTAACGGGGAATATAAAAATTCAAGCAAAAAATTTATTGAATTTATTCGGCAACAAATTATTTTTAAAAATAATTATTTTTTCATTGACCTCTTTTGATTTAATTATTTTTGTTTTATGAAGTTTTTACCTGGTTAAAGCCTGCTAATTTAATTTTAAATAATTCTAAATTAAGCACATTTTACTATAAGTTTTAACATTCAATTAATTATTAGTTTTTAAATAAAACTAAAAATGACCAATCACGGACATTTTGGCTCTATCTGAAAGGAGGTGCGGCATCATATTTTTTCCTCCTTCCTTACACAACCTTTCATTTTTCCTTAATATGAAAAAATGTTCAGTCTTTCTTCCTTCCTTATTTTACTAAAAAACCTTGTGGCATATTCAAATGAAAATGGTCATCATTTATGATTTTTAAATCGTGTCATGCTAACTTACGGAACAGACAAAACACCGTCTTACCAAATCAAGAAACGACCAAATAACAGAGCGACCATAACACGGAATGACCAAAAACTGACCGAAGATCTGGTCAGTGATCTGGTAAGACGGTGACTTGTCCGACCTTTTTGTCGTTCAATCTCCTGTCTGTTCCGTCCTGACAATGGCAATGAGAAAAAATTAATCCTTTCCCTATTAATGTCTCCCATTTGAATGTGCCACAGGGAAAATTAAGGGCTAGGAAAAGTCTGACCATTTTTTCATATTAAGGAGAAATGAAAGGTAGTGTAAGGAAAGAGGAAAAAATATGATCCCGCACCTCCTTTCAGATAGTGCCGACATTTTGGTGTTTTTCGACTCAGCTCGACGAGCCTTTCGAATTAACTAACATTTGTATAATCGAATTTTCTACCCAAAAAATCAGCTTGCTCCCCCTATGGTCTTTCGATTTTCAATCGCCTTATCTCTGCGAGTTTTTGTCTCAGGTAATGTTTCAATCTTGGTGGACCTATATTAAAGTACAGCCTTGTTAAAAAAATAAAAATCTTATTGAAATAGATAATATAAAATTAATAAATTTCATTTTTTAAAATAATCTCTACTGCTAAATCGTATTTATTCCATTTTAAAATAGTTAAAAAAATTTTATTTATATAATATTTAAATCAGGAAAACGGGGCACACTTGAAATTGTATGACACACCCCACAAAAATTTGTTTTTTACATTTTTTGTTTTTTTAATTCATTTATAAATTCTTTAATTTAACTCCGGTTTTTTCAACGCTTCCATTAACATTTCTGCTAAATCCTTTTGTTCACTGCTTTCATTGTATTTTTTGATAGTAGAAACTGCATTATCAACATCGAGCAAACCTTTGAAAATTTAAATATAGTCAAAATAAAGAATATGTTCTTTCTTCGAAGATCGTCCCAACAAGGAAGCCAAGAGACAATCTCAATAAATGCACGCAAGGCAAATTTAACGCAAGAACGCAAAATTGGGCCATTTTATTAGCCATTTTTCAGTTAAAAATTGGTCTGCGCGTCCTAATTGATTTTGTGATATATGTAAGTTGAATGGGCAATTGCATTCGTAAAACTTGGTTTCAAAGTATTACCATCGTTTATATTCACAAAAATTGCCGAATCTTTTTTTCCTTTAACTAATTTTACTGTATTTTCTTTTCCATAAATTTCTGCCAGAAATTTTTTTCTAATAACGCTATTTTTGTCAAAATAAAGAATATGTTCTTTTTTATCTTGAATTGTTCCATCATTATTGCTAGTACTTGTTTTACCTTTTTCTATTATTTCTTCCTTTCCCATTTCTTTACTTAATTTAATTATCACCTTCTTTTTATCTTTATTTTTGTATACTTCATCAAATACTTTATAAAAAAGAGCTTTGAACCATCTTTCTTTTAATTCAATAATAAAATCGTCATATTTTTCCAACATTTTTACACGTTCTTTTTCAAGGTTTAACGGCCCTTTTTCAAATAATTTATTGCTTTCGATTTTTATCTTTTCTATTTTTTCTTCCAATAAATTCTTCTTTTCGTTACTAGTCTTTTTCATATCTTCCTCTAATTTAATATCACTTCTGTATTTTATATGACTTAATCCATTCGATATTTTCGACATTCTGTTTTCTATTTCTGCCCCTCTATATTTGTTATTTAACTCTATACATTCTTCTTGGTATAATCTCTGCCGTTCACTTTTTATCCATTTCAAATCTTTTTTCAATTCTTTCTCATTTTTGAGTTTTGCTTCGTTAATAATTGATTCTTCCCTTCTTTTTTTAAATTCCTCATCATCCATCTCTTTCAATTCTTCCCTTTCATTTTTAACTTCTTCAATTAATTCAACAATTGCCATAGGTGTTTCTGATTTAATTTGTATTGTCGTTTCTGTTTCAAATATTTTGACAGAAATATTCTCACCCTTCTCGTAAAGACTTTTATACCAAAGTATTCCATTCGTGTATGTTTTATAAACTCTGCCAGTTTTAGTCAATGGAATTTGAGAACTATCTTTTAGCTCTTCCATACCATAACATATCAACAAATCAATAGAAAGGTAACGAGTCTTAATTCTCTCTGAAAGGAAAACTAATGTTTCATTCAATTTTTTAAAATAGTTTAATAAGTTCCTCGAGTTTATATTCATTAAATATTGACTTTCCTTGAATATCTTTTCTTTATCACTTTTCTTGTTAAAGATAACAGCACTATTAAAATCACAGAAAAATAAATCAAAATGAATTTCAACATTTTTCCTTTTATCAACTTTATCTAGAATAGCCAGTGGGGTTTCTTTAACATTATTTATTTCCAAAATGTTTGTATCACAGAGCAATTTCAAAAAAGATTTTTCACTTTTTTCAAGCTCCTCTTTTTCCTTCACATAATATGACAAAGCGTTTAAACGTTCTTTTAACGAATTTTCTAAATTTTTCATCTTTAAACCAATTTCATTATTAGCCAAATTTATTCTTGATTTTTCTTCTTCAGAAATTGCGTTTTCAAATTCAGAACCCAAAAAGAGACGCAATTTTGACACCCATTTGGTGTTAATATACATTATATCATTTATTCCAGTATTTGAATGACCACTCAAAACAGTTACATTCATTCCTTCTGAAGATTATTTGATTCGCAATCAGCACTCATTGTTACAAGTTAGGTTATTTCATTGAAGTGGAAAAACGAGATTCAGATATAAAATCTCGATTAATTACTTACAAAGACCTGCCTATTATCCATAAGGCATAATAGACTGAGTCTACTGTATTATATATCCCATGCTTAATATTTATTAAAAATACCCATAAAAAGTTCAAATGCAGCATATAAACTTAGTGGACCATCACTCTCCACAATTACATTTTTATATTCTTTTCTCAATTTTTTATTTTCCAAATGCTGATTGTAGAGTACTTTGATTATAGCTTTATCCATTTGTTTGCTTTGTATTTTTGATAGATTAAAAATAATTTTCAAAGAATTTAATGCGGTAATATTCAACAAATTTTCTGGGTGTTTTAAAGTAGAGGGTACTTTTTCCATAAAGGAGTCAGTATCAAACAAAGTGCTTTCTGTGCCTTCAGTATATAAATATATCATGAAGGTTTTGCATTTAATAACCAAATTTATCAATTTTTTGTAGTATTCCACGTGTGATGAACTGGCAGATATCTTGAATTTAATATATCTTATTCTCTTAGGTGAAGGTTTGCCAAAAATATATTCAAAGTTTACTTGCCTTTTTCTCATTTATCTTCTGCTTATTTGATTTTTTCACAATTTTATCATAATCTTTTAATTCATTCGCAATAACTTCTGTTTTATCAAAACGTAATTTAATATTTTTTAAATTTATTTCCGCAAATTCGTTAATTTTGTTTACAAATCTGTCAAAAGCTTTAGTAAATATATCAAAAAGGTTTTTATACTCCTCATGTTCTTCGAGATATTTATATTCCTCGAATTGAATCGGATCATCTGTGGATACACCCCCACGAGGCATTCCAGTTGAATTATCTATCTCAGCAAAATTCTTTAAGCGTTCAATGCGACTTTCTTCTAACACTCCATCTATAAAATAAAAAAATCACTCCACTTATGATACAAATATTAAGGAAACTTTTGTAAAAATAACATAAAAACCGTGTTTTAAATAAAGTTTGGACCGCGATGAGATCTCGAACAAGAATGTCGGTTATCGGTTATCGAGACTTCGAGATTTGGTAAGATTTTCGTACAATACTTACAGTACGGTCTTTGTTTAAATATACCTTCATCAAAGTTGTTCACAGCGGAACCAATATTAAAATTCAAGGCGAGAATCAAAGCAAAAATTGACAATAATTTTGCTTTGTCTCGCATTTAAATGTCAAAAAGAATATTTCAATAGAAGAATTTTATGTTTTCAATTTTTTGATAAAATGATCAAGTTAGGTGTAGGAATTGTAAATATTTATAGAGGTAATGAGAAGAGGTAACCAAAGGAAGTTACGAAATTTAGTATTTATTACCACACAGATTGACTGGCAGCTATTTCGAATTTTATGAAAATTATTGATATGAAAATTAAGAAATTAAAATTTCATTGAAAATATTCTTTTTGCCCTTTAAAAGTATATTTTTTATGAAGTAGATTTATTAAATGGATTGAGAAATAATAAACTTTCCCGTGGACTTTTCTATCCATAGTCAATTAAGGGAAAAAGCGAAAAAATGATCAGTCAGGTATTCCGTCATTCCTATAACTATTGCGCGATCTGAGGAAATTATTATATACTGATTGTGATTAAAAAGCAAGTAAAAAATGTCCGTATCTAAATTACAGATTAAAATGTAAAAATAAAAAAAAATTTAAATTTGTCAATAAATAAAAAACAAACAAAGAAGATCATTTCTAATTATCTAAAATTATATTTTAAATACAGTAAGGTGCAAAAGTTTGGAACATTTTGTTGTAATTTAGTTAATCAATAAATTTTCGTTCATTTCTCAACGAATGGGCTGGATTAAATTTTTTTAAATTAAATATAAGTGTTGTCTATGGAATAACAATAAAAGTTTTTAAATATCTTCAGATATTCATATATTTTATCCTTAAAGTATTTTATACCTAAAAAATAAGGGGTGCAAAAGTATGGAACATTTTTGATTTTGTTGTATTTTTATGCAAAACTCCAACGAAAAAAATCTATAAAATTTTCATCGACCAAAGATAATGATATTGTAAAAGAATAAAAAGAAACTGTGTCCATATCGTTACTCTAACCGGAGATCATGACACCCTGGAAATCAACGTAAAATGGTGGTAAATCACTTAAAAAATATTTTCGACCTTTATGGGTTATTCTAAATTTCGATTTTGGGCTTATCTGAAAGCCCTTGAAATTTGCTACAAGATAGTTATAATCTTACTTATCAGGAAAAATCTATTCGAGTGATATAGACCCTTTTATTTTTGAAAGGGCATTTTATGGGGCATTTAGGCGTTTTTTGTTGTATCAGAAAGATAAATGGTCACAATCTCGCTATCAAATTTTTTTTAAAAATTATATTAATGCTATCTTATAGCAAATTTCAAGGGCTTTCAGATAAGCTCAAAATGAAAATTCAAAACTATCCATAAGGTGTCGAAAATATTTTTTTAAGTGACTTACCCCCATTTTACGTTGATTTCAGGGTAGCGAGCTTTCGACAACGAAATGGGATATGGGCCTAGTTCTTTTTTATTTTACTTTATTATAGATCAATATGCTTGCATGAATTTTTCTAGATTTTTTTGTTAAGATTTTGACATTAAAATATAATGAAATCAAAAATGTTCCAAACTTTTGCACCCCTTATTTTTTAGGTATAAAATATAAAATATGTTCCAACTAATATGTTCCAAACTTTTGCTCCTCACTGTATTTACTGGAAATAAAATAACAAAGTTTTAGTCAAGTTATTACAAAGTCTGGGCATAATTAATTTAATATTTTTAGCTCACGTAAATATTCTGTAAAATTTATTACTCAATGTCCAACTCGAAAAATCATCCTATTTCATTTTAACATTTCCGAGCTTGGAATAACTATAAGAAATTATGGAAGGAATAAAAAAAGTTGTTAAAATTCGACAGAGAATGATGGTATACAAAATTTGTATTTAATATTTTTCTACTAAGGTTGGCGGTTCCGGGTATCCGGAACCGAAAAAACCTCGGATATCCGGAAATTTTCGGTTCGGATACCGGTTCCGGTTCCGGATATCCGAAAATTTCGGTTCGGATATCGGTTCCGGTTCCTGATATCCGCAGATTTTCCAGGAACCGCCATCCTTATTTTCTACCCAGATCTCTAGATAAGAAAAAATTTTGAATTTTTCAAATTTCGAACTTTAGTTTTTATTTATTTTTCAAATTTTATTTACACTCGATAGAAAAATTGTCCTTTTATACGTTTAAAAATATGGTTTAATCCAATAAAAAATAAAAGTTAAAGATAATATTTGGCTGTAGTATAGTTTGTTGGACACGAGACTCAGATTCTAAATATATAAACTTTGATTCTTCTCGCCGAGCTGAGTTCGAAAATAATTCTTTTTTCTAGAGACGAAAACTCACAGAGAAGTGTACCACAAATAAACTATTGCCAAATATTTTTTTTAAATGAAAAAGTTCCAAAAAATTTAGTCTAAAGATGTTAAAGTCTGATTTCTCAACTCAAATAAAAAGTAATAATTAGATAAATAGCAAGCAGGGACCCGAATTACCCAAAATCTGTACTTTTTTCAACCCGAAAACCGAACCAAGAAATTTTCCAAAATCCAAACCGACATTTTCCATTGAAAACTGGTTCTCCGTATTGGTATTGAGTACTGGAAAATTTCCGGCCTTGGAGAACCTGTCGAATCAAAAACCTACTTTAGACTATTAAAGGACAAAATTCTTTTTCTCATATTTTAGCTGAATTGTAATTCTTTAAACTGACTAGACCCAATGAAACCCGGACTTTTTTACCCGAAACCCGACCCAAAGGAAAAAAAACACCGATCCAACCAGCCCTTGAAAATCGTGTGCTCAATCTTTTCCTCCTCTTCTGCTTCCACTTCCTGGATATTGAACACTTTTTCCTTTAGCTTGTTGCTGCCCACCTTTCATCACAGTACATTCTTGCAGAATCTTTAAATAATAATTTTTTATAAACTATTGTTTTTTTAATATACCCAATACTATTCACTTCTAAAAGTACAATGTTTATCCCGTTTTTCTCATATAACCTGATGAATAATCATCAAATCTTTTTGAACCTTTTATATAATTATGCACTGATTAAAATGTATCACGAAAATCTCGTACATATTGCTATGTACTAAGGTCTCGTACATATTGCTTTAAAAAATAAATAATTTACTTGTGTCATAACTCCTATGCGTAATTGTGGTGGAACTTCTTTACCATTATTTATTTCTGCAAATTCATTATCAGTATCGTATTCTCTTTCTATTCTTCCGGCATTTTCATCTCTAATTTGTTGAATTAAATAAGGATTAATAATTTGTTGTTCAAGTTTTTTTTGAATAAGAAAATTAATGTTATAATAAAAAACATAAAATGGTGTATTAATCTCACAAAGGAGAGTGCCTGAGGTGTCCGTGGGACTTCGGGATGAAATTTGGCAGGGAGATAGATCATACCCTATTATAGTCATACCCAGCTTAGTTTTTGCTAAATGGTACCGTGGGCCAAGTTATAAGCACCCAAAATTTTAGGGTCCCCTCTTATAAACAATTTCTATTCAGTTATAGATGTGTTCGTCGGTGGTGCAGTGGTAGCGTTCTTGAATTCAATTTTTTCCCCCAGGTTCGAATCCTGATTGGGGAAATTAATTTATTTTAACATAATTTTTGTTTTTTTTTGAAAATTTTGGTTTTAAAATTTAAAAAAATTTTCTAAATTTTTTTGAAACTTTTATAAAATTTTTTTAAATATATATTCCTTGCCTTTTAAAGCCCTCGACTTATTCATTTTTTGTGTTCTTTCAAAATGTTTTTCAAAAAATTTTAAAAAAGTTTCAAAAAAATTTAGAAAATTTTTTAAAAATTTTAGAAACAAAATTTTCAAAAAAAAACAAAAATTATGTTAAAATAAATTAATTTCCCCAATCAGGATTCGAACTTGGGGGGAAAAAGTAAATTCACGCACGCTACCACTGCACCACCGACGAACACATCTGTACCTAAAAAGAAATTGTTTATAAGTGAAAAAGAAAACTAAGGGGGATCCTAAAATTTTGGGGGCTTATAACTCGGCCCACGGTACCATTAAGCAAAAATGGTTCAAGATTTATAATAGAAAGGGTATGATCTACATGTGTGCCAAATTTTATCCCGAAGTCCCACGGACACCTCAGGCACTCTCCTTTGTCAGCATCATCAAAATCATCTTTAATTAATTTAAAATTTGGATATATTTTTTTAAAATATTTTGCCCTCTTCCTTTTTTTAAGTCTTAAAACATAAATCACTCTATTACAACTACTCAATAGGGTTTAGCGGGATCGGGATCCCGGTCGGGATCATTATTCCGATCCCAATTTCGGCCAATCCGATCCCGCAGTCGGATTGAGATCATTCCCGCTCAACTCTACTACTACTCGATCAAAACTTCCTTTTCATGTCAGCTTAAAACGGTCATGAAGGATGTCGTAACATCGATTACTGTATTTTCTTTCTAGAATTTATTATAACTATTAGAGATCGGTCTGAGATGATATCTCGAACAAAATCTTGTTTGACAAGATTGATATTTCTTGATATCCTCCAAATCCGATCTCTAATTATAATTAACTAAAAATTTGTGGATTTTTAGTTCAGTCCAGAATGTTTTTAGTTTTTCCTATTCCCTACCAAATAAGCTTTTCAAATGCTGGAGAAAATAAATATGATTGACATCGGGAATAAGCTTAAATGCTCTCAGTTTAAAAACATCCGATCCCGATTTTGTGAAGATACCCATGAAAATAAAGAAGAGAATAGAATTATTTTTAAAAAAGCTTACAGCAATTAGCTATAATTTCATCACACTCCTTTCTTGTTAACTTTGCTCGTTCTGTTGGGACTTAAAGAATTAAATTAGAAATTTAAATTAAAAAATATTTACTTATAGAATGACGAAAAATTATTGCCAAAAATGGTAGAAGGGAATTAATATTTTCAGTAAAATCTATAAAATGAGCAGGATAAATAATATCATGTTCACATTCTGCTAGTCTCAAAGACATTAACATTTTATTTTGATGACGTGCTGAAAATTTAAATTTATTTTTAATTTTATTTTTATTTTTGTATTTTTGGGAAATATTTTTATTTAAAAATAAATTAATTTTTATCACAAAATTTTGATAAATTTTACTCAAAAATCGTAAAGTTACAGATGTACAATTGAAAACTAAAATATATAGGAGGAAATACCAGACCTGCTCATGGGCACGGATTTTGCTATCCGTATCCGGATATATCCGTGAGGTCAATATCCGTATCCGTTTGTATCCGACCAACTTTTGATTATATCCATCCGCGGATATCCGCGGATATATCCGTTTTTTCTCAAAATGGTCAGCCTGTCTAGAATTTTCAAAATGGTCAAATTTATTTAAATTCGAGTAATGGTTAGATAACGAGGTAATAACTGGATGCAGCTAAACTAACCTTGCTTATGAACATCGGAGGTCGAAAATCGGAAGGCAGAGATAGGAATTCCGATCCAACGCTGCTTATCAGGAATCATACCGACAAAAAAATAAAATTTTGCCAATTTTTGAGAATTTTTGAATAGTTAAATTCCCGGTTTCGGGCCGAAATATAAATTTCGGGTAACTGACGAGTTGATTTTAGCGCCGAAGGCGAAAATTTTGAGAATTTTGGAGGACAAAGAAACGAAAAATCTTTCATTTTCAGCGCCGCAGGCGAAAATTTTGAGAATTTTAGAAAGGCGTAGGCCAAAAAAATCACTTTTTTGCCCAATCCCCTCACCAAATTTTTTCCTTTTTCCCGATTCGGGAATGGGTGGGGGAATTCTCCATACCTCTCTGAAAATTTTCGTTTGTCAGCTAAAAGAGTACGTGCTAATTTTGCTCGTACTTACCACTGAATGGCCTGGACTTGTACTTCGTACCTTAAGTGTTTATGCACATTGGAGCAACGTAGATGAAAATTTTAAAGCTGAGGAAACCAGAGTTCTTCATTCTAATGCCACAGGCGAAAAATTGAGAAGTTCCATGATTTAAAGTCAAATTTCTTTCCTTTTTAGCGCCGCAGGCGAAAATTTTAGAAATTTTGAAAGGCCAAAAGCGAAAAAATTCACTTTCTTTGCACCGCAGGCTAGCTTTTTGAGATGGATATCCGCGGATTTGAAGCATCATATCCGTATCCATCCGTATCCGTCCAATTTTTTTAAAAACACTATCCATATCCATCCGTATCCGCGGATATCCGCGGGTATCCGGATATTATCCGTATCCGTGAGCAGGTCTGGGAAATACCATAAACATAAGCCTAATTTCTATCTAGTTCTCTTATCCTAAAGTTCCCCAGAAGGAAATGTTTGGATGTAACAGAAAATAATTACTAAATTGAAAAGCATTGTAATCAAATTGAACATCAAAATCATTATTATAAATATCTAATTCTTCAAGTTTTTCCATAAATATATTTGCCTTTATTTCAAAAATATCAAAAGCCTCCATATAAAGCAAAATTGAAATCTTGCTAAAAAAGTAAAAAATAAATTAGATATCGTAGCTTCTTTAAAATAGTCACAGAAGAAAACCCTCTCATTGGAGGGGTAAGCCCTTCTAGAGAGCGGGATTATTAGTTCACTCCTGCAAGCTTGAAAAAATGTAGATTTTCTGTCTAGATCTTCAACTCTGCAGAATCCCGTAAAAATATCGGATTTTCGTGGAAAATTGGAAGAGGTGTATAAACCTTAGGTGTTTTAAAGAGAGGGGAGAGGAGGATCTTCTTTTAGAAAATTTATTTTAAATCTACTATTTTCAATAATTTTATTTTTTTAATTAAAAATACTTCTTTGAAGGTAAAAACAGCTTGTCAAAATGTCTGTGTTTTAAAACAGCAGAACGAATAAGATTTCTAACAAAACTAAATAAATGCCATGAAATGAAAATATTTCGTTCATTTTGTGCTGGAATACTTTGTCCCAAATGATATTTTATTTGTTGAAAGTTATCCAATAAATTGTCGTAAAAGTTGATGACCTTTGTTTATTAAATTAAAAAATTAGCTAAGATATGAAGGTCTATAATTGATAATTAATAATTTGAATCTATAATTGACTGATTGCCCATTCCCATAGGTCAAAATAAATCGTAGTTTATAGAGCTCTTTGACCTGTTCTGTAAAGGAACCTGTTTACAAGTGGTTACATACACCATATAGAGCAGGGTTCCGATTCGTACTTTTTTAAAAGTATTGTACTTTTAAATCAACATTCAGGAAAAAATGGAAGAAATCTGGCTTAAGGACCTCCAAACTTCTCAAAATTTTCCCCTTGACCCCTCCCTCAGAAAAAAATTTTTTAATTTAATTTGGAGTGTACTTTTTATTTGGAAATTTAGTCCCTATGTACTTTTAAATCGAGATTTTTGTACTTTTGGTTGGCATTTTGTCGATCGGAACCCTGATATAGAGGGACAACGGTTCATGTAAAATGTTACTAAAAGACAACATTGGGTAACATTCTAGGTAATACAAAAACCCTTCGGTGGGGTAACAATCATGGGGAAACAATCAACAATCATTAACAAAAGGATTTTACTGACACAGAACTGAAATTAACATCTAAGTACTGTCAACACTTATTAGAAAATTATTTAAAAAACAATTTATATATATATATTATTTTACCATTTCAATCTTTTCAAACATGTTGTCAACCAAAATATATTGAGGAGTTCCTTCTTGAAATCTCAACTGACTTAACCCTTTGAGTATATTTAGCATTCCCGCATTATTATTAAATGTTTCAATCTCAATTTGTTTAAAAATATGAATTAGGTAAGATAATTCGGCAAGCTCAAAATATAATTCTGGGAATTTTTCATTTAAATGACCGAGCGGTAAGGGTGGAGGGCAGTTCTGTCTATTTGCTGAATGATGACTTTCAACAACTTCTTTTCCTCCTTTAAATCAAAAAATAGAAATTTAATACAAAGTTTAATAAATCAAAAAATAATACTTGAAGGTCTCATTCCATTGCTATGTTGAAAGAAATTCAAAGTTAAAATTAAAAATAAATAAAAAATATTCATTTTTCTCGAATAAAATTGTAAAAAAAATAAATTAATGTGGAGAAGGGAGAGGGTGAGGGGCATATAAAGGGTAAGGAAATGCGCGGGAGGAAGGAGAAGAGGAAGTAAATTTTTAAAATTTAAAATTAATTTACCTTTGCATTATCTAAAATGCCGTCAATAAAGCAGGGATGGGGAATCGACTTACACTTCCGATTTAAAAATGCGGAAGTCGTTTGCAAGATGCAAATTTATTTAAATTTATTTCCTGTTTCGTCAGAGAATAGTTTCGTCCCCAAAAAGGAGCTTACTCCTTTCTATAGTTTTCTATACTTTTAATTATTTTTAAGCATTTAAAAGAAGTTTGGTAATTTTGAATTTCGTTCCCCAACTTCTTTCTCCCTTTGGCTTTATAATTTACAATAAATTTTATTAACAAATTGTTAGATTAAATTAAAATTATCACCTGCAGTTAAAAGGACATGTTTATTAAATAATTGCCATTTAAATTAAACAAATATTTACGTAAAATGAAAGGTTGAATGAATATTAAATTAGGTGGTTGGAAAATATTTATTTAATAAATATTATAAAGTAATTAACTTCTTTTATGAAAATTTTTAAATTTATTTTTTTCTTTTGCTTAAATATGTTAAAAGCTAATTTTCAATGACAATCCAATTTTTTGTTTGGCTGTCCTCTTTAAGAATTCAATTTATTTATTTTGCAATTGTAATTAGTCTTCCTTCGATAATTCTTTATTTAATTGAAATAATCACAATTATTGGAAATAAAGAGTTTCACAATCCTTTTTACAAACTTTTTTTAATTCGTTCCGTTCCGGTTAGTTTATTTTTTGCAATTACAAATTCCTTACGAAAGAATTTAATTACATTATATTGAATTTGAATAAGGGTATGGCATGAATAGTTTGCCTGGTTACTTTTTGGTCCCTTGTACATTTCTGGAATACAAATCCCGTAAAAACTTTTCCGGAAAACAAGTACATTTTAAAATATTATCTCACTATTTCGGAAAAAGTCTATGTAATATTTTTCCGGAAAATGTGTTTTAAATAATGTTTCCGGATAAACATGTTTTATTTCAGAATATTCTCTACACACTCGACTCTTATTATTGTTATCGCCTAACAATTCTTTTCGGTAATTGGCTATATCCTTTTTACGATTTATTGCCAAATTGGATGTTACGGCTTTCTTTTTTTCTTACATATTCTACAATTTTAGCGGATTTTTTGGCGACTTTTTTAATTCTTGCAAATCGTTGGACTGCAATTACTATGGCTATGAATTATAAATGGGTAACTAAAATATTTACAGAAAATCTCGAAAAATCTATATCTCAATACCAAAATTTTTCTCAGAAATTTCTCGATCTGGTTTCTAGATTGACAAAATATAAATCTTCGGTTAATATAGTTTAGAAAATCCATTCTTACATTTAGAGCCCAGATGGTACCGTACTACGACGGTATTTTGCGGTATTTATCGGTATTCAGTATCGGTAGTACGGTACCACCGACCGATATAATTTTTTTATTTTTTCCGTACCGTAAAACCGATAAAACTTTCTAGGTACATTGTGCTATTCCGTATCATTATTACTAGGGAGTGGCAAAATATGCACGAAAAATCCCAAAATATGCGCATATATATGCACCGAAAAAGCCTAAATATGCACAAAAATATGCCAAATTTTCCAAAATATGCACTAAATATGCAGCAAAAATAATAGAAATGTGGTTTAAAAATCCATATTTTGAGTAAAAAATACTAATTTAGCATTTAAATTGCAGTTTAAGAGCTCTTCTAGAAGATTTTATGAACAAAATTTAAGTTCCGATAAAATTTTTTTGAAAAAAGTTTTTCCCGAAAAATTTTTTGAAAATTTTTCTAAACAAATTTTTATCAAAAAATTTTTTGCGCAAAAAATTCCAATATTTTGAAAATTTTGCCCGATTTTTACTAAAATTTCTCAAAAAATGCCAAAATATGCACAAATTTAGGTAAAAAAATGCAAAATTTCCCAAAATATGCATCGATATGCAAATATGCACGAAAGTACTGAAATATGCAAAAATATGCATTAAGAACCCGGTCCCTAATGTTCGTACAGATGTAAAAACACCATTTTTGAGCGTTTTAGTCCATGGCATATCCGCATACAAAATATGCATTTGCATGTTTTGCCACTCCCTAATTATTACATTTGATACGGAATACGGCATGGTAAAATTTTAAATTTTATCGGTATCGGTATTTTAGGTATTTCAGTACGGAAAATTATGCACACAAAATTCCGGGCTATAGCTATATTTACCTAATTTTGTTTCCGGAAAAAACATATTCTAACCGCATCTACTCCGGAAAATTTATACAACTCAAACAAAACTTTAAAAAATACCTAGGTTTGGAATAAACTTATTTTTCCTTCCGCATTGGTTGTGTTTGGAATTCCAACTTTATTGTATATACCAATACTCACTGTAAATTGTTTCCTTCAAAATGACACAAGTTCTGGAGGTTTTTACATTGGACAAGACAAAATTGTTTGTTAAATTTTCAAATTTTAAGCAAAATAATATTAAAACTTGTAGACTTTTTATGGAAGTATTCCATTAAACCCAATTCTGTGCGGTATGTTTGTAATTATTTGTGTTTTTCTAAATATTGGAACTTTAATTTCTTATCGAAAACATTGCAAGAAAAACACCGCAATTAAAACCAATCAACAATTAGATCACGAGAAAACGGAATATAAATTAATGGTTTATGCCATTGCTACTTTTATTGGACATTTAATTATTGTTTTAGAACAAGTAAATATTTATATCGTTCCGAAAAAATATTATTTAAGTATGTTCCGGAAAATGTTCGAATTAATTAAAGTAGAAAAACATTGTTTTAGATAAAATTCACAAACATTTTTTGGAAAACATTGTTTCGGAAAACATCGTTTTATTATGTTTCCGGAAAATGTTTGAATAATTAAATTAGAAAAACATTGTTTATTTAATTATGTTATTAAGAAAAACAATGTTTATTTTGTAGTCGTTGGAAAACATTGTTGAATCAATTAAGTTTCCGGAAAACGTTAAAAACATTTTTAGATTCCTGAAAACATTGTTTTATTATGTTTCCGGAAAATGTTCGAATTAATTAATGTAGAAAAACATTGTTTAATTAATTCTGTTATAAGGAAAAACAATGTTTATTTTGGAGTCGTTGGAAAGCATTATTTTATCATGTTTTTATCGGAAATGTTTGAATCAGTTAAGGTTCCGGAAAAACATTGTTTATTTAATTATTTTGTCAGGGAAAACATTTTTAGATTTCTGAAAACATTGTTTTATTATGTTTGCTTGTTTTATTATGATACGGATTGTTTATATTATGATACTTGTTTTATTATGATACGGATATGATGATTTGAAGCATCATATCCGTATCCATCCGTATCCGTCCAATTTTTTTAAAAACACTATCCATATCCATCCGTATCCGCGGATATCCGCGGGTATCCGGATATTATCCGTATCCGTGAGCAGGTCTGGGAAATACCATAAACATAAGCCTAATTTCTATCTAGTTCTCTTATCCTAAAGTTCCCCAGAAGGAAATGTTTGGATGTAACAGAAAATAATTACTAAATTGAAAAGCATTGTAATCAAATTGAACATCAAAATCATTATTATAAATATCTAATTCTTCAAGTTTTTCCATAAATATATTTGCCTTTATTTCAAAAATATCAAAAGCCTCCATATAAAGCAAAATTGAAATCTTGCTAAAAAAGTAAAAAATAAATTAGATATCGTAGCTTCTTTAAAATAGTCACAGAAGAAAACCCTCTCATTGGAGGGGTAAGCCCTTCTAGAGAGCGGGATTATTAGTTCACTCCTGCAAGCTTGAAAAAATGTAGATTTTCTGTCTAGATCTTCAACTCTGCAGAATCCCGTAAAAATATCGGATTTTCGTGGAAAATTGGAAGAGGTGTATAAACCTTAGGTGTTTTAAAGAGAGGGGAGAGGAGGATCTTCTTTTAGAAAATTTATTTTAAATCTACTATTTTCAATAATTTTATTTTTTTAATTAAAAATACTTCTTTGAAGGTAAAAACAGCTTGTCAAAATGTCTGTGTTTTAAAACAGCAGAACGAATAAGATTTCTAACAAAACTAAATAAATGCCATGAAATGAAAATATTTCGTTCATTTTGTGCTGGAATACTTTGTCCCAAATGATATTTTATTTGTTGAAAGTTATCCAATAAATTGTCGTAAAAGTTGATGACCTTTGTTTATTAAATTAAAAAATTAGCTAAGATATGAAGGTCTATAATTGATAATTAATAATTTGAATCTATAATTGACTGATTGCCCATTCCCATAGGTCAAAATAAATCGTAGTTTATAGAGCTCTTTGACCTGTTCTGTAAAGGAACCTGTTTACAAGTGGTTACATACACCATATAGAGCAGGGTTCCGATTCGTACTTTTTTAAAAGTATTGTACTTTTAAATCAACATTCAGGAAAAAATGGAAGAAATCTGGCTTAAGGACCTCCAAACTTCTCAAAATTTTCCCCTTGACCCCTCCCTCAGAAAAAAATTTTTTAATTTAATTTGGAGTGTACTTTTTATTTGGAAATTTAGTCCCTATGTACTTTTAAATCGAGATTTTTGTACTTTTGGTTGGCATTTTGTCGATCGGAACCCTGATATAGAGGGACAACGGTTCATGTAAAATGTTACTAAAAGACAACATTGGGTAACATTCTAGGTAATACAAAAACCCTTCGGTGGGGTAACAATCATGGGGAAACAATCAACAATCATTAACAAAAGGATTTTACTGACACAGAACTGAAATTAACATCTAAGTACTGTCAACACTTATTAGAAAATTATTTAAAAAACAATTTATATATATATATTATTTTACCATTTCAATCTTTTCAAACATGTTGTCAACCAAAATATATTGAGGAGTTCCTTCTTGAAATCTCAACTGACTTAACCCTTTGAGTATATTTAGCATTCCCGCATTATTATTAAATGTTTCAATCTCAATTTGTTTAAAAATATGAATTAGGTAAGATAATTCGGCAAGCTCAAAATATAATTCTGGGAATTTTTCATTTAAATGACCGAGCGGTAAGGGTGGAGGGCAGTTCTGTCTATTTGCTGAATGATGACTTTCAACAACTTCTTTTCCTCCTTTAAATCAAAAAATAGAAATTTAATACAAAGTTTAATAAATCAAAAAATAATACTTGAAGGTCTCATTCCATTGCTATGTTGAAAGAAATTCAAAGTTAAAATTAAAAATAAATAAAAAATATTCATTTTTCTCGAATAAAATTGTAAAAAAAATAAATTAATGTGGAGAAGGGAGAGGGTGAGGGGCATATAAAGGGTAAGGAAATGCGCGGGAGGAAGGAGAAGAGGAAGTAAATTTTTAAAATTTAAAATTAATTTACCTTTGCATTATCTAAAATGCCGTCAATAAAGCAGGGATGGGGAATCGACTTACACTTCCGATTTAAAAATGCGGAAGTCGTTTGCAAGATGCAAATTTATTTAAATTTATTTCCTGTTTCGTCAGAGAATAGTTTCGTCCCCAAAAAGGAGCTTACTCCTTTCTATAGTTTTCTATACTTTTAATTATTTTTAAGCATTTAAAAGAAGTTTGGTAATTTTGAATTTCGTTCCCCAACTTCTTTCTCCCTTTGGCTTTATAATTTACAATAAATTTTATTAACAAATTGTTAGATTAAATTAAAATTATCACCTGCAGTTAAAAGGACATGTTTATTAAATAATTGCCATTTAAATTAAACAAATATTTACGTAAAATGAAAGGTTGAATGAATATTAAATTAGGTGGTTGGAAAATATTTATTTAATAAATATTATAAAGTAATTAACTTCTTTTATGAAAATTTTTAAATTTATTTTTTTCTTTTGCTTAAATATGTTAAAAGCTAATTTTCAATGACAATCCAATTTTTTGTTTGGCTGTCCTCTTTAAGAATTCAATTTATTTATTTTGCAATTGTAATTAGTCTTCCTTCGATAATTCTTTATTTAATTGAAATAATCACAATTATTGGAAATAAAGAGTTTCACAATCCTTTTTACAAACTTTTTTTAATTCGTTCCGTTCCGGTTAGTTTATTTTTTGCAATTACAAATTCCTTACGAAAGAATTTAATTACATTATATTGAATTTGAATAAGGGTATGGCATGAATAGTTTGCCTGGTTACTTTTTGGTCCCTTGTACATTTCTGGAATACAAATCCCGTAAAAACTTTTCCGGAAAACAAGTACATTTTAAAATATTATCTCACTATTTCGGAAAAAGTCTATGTAATATTTTTCCGGAAAATGTGTTTTAAATAATGTTTCCGGATAAACATGTT